TATTATACAACGAAAGAAACATCCGCGAACAATGTTCGAATACAAAGATGGGAAATCCAACAGACTCAAATGGAAATAAAAATGGGAGAACACACCATATGGTGGTCTAAACAATCTAAAAGACATATGAGGCTAAGACAGTCAAGCTGAGCCCTTAGTTCTCAGACAATCCACACTACAACCAAAGACTAAAAAACAAAAAAACAAAGATAAGCATGACTGCAATAACACAAACCAACAAAGCCCAACTCCTAACAAAGCAAAACAGAAAAAAGATAACTGAGGCACCACAAAAACCATCAAAACATAGCTATGAAGGTCTGCTCAAGTCTGCAAACTCCTGCCATTCCCTGACTGCACCTTGGATTATCATGTGGTCAGGGATCTTCTCTCCCTTAAAGAGTCAATGGTTCCTAGTTTTCCAAAACCACCATAACATGTAGGTTGTTAACTGAATCCAGGCTTCGGCTACTTCTATTTTTTCCACTTTGCAGATTTGACGCCACCAGCATTTGAAAGCGCACTCCTCATCCTTTATGCCCAGGAAATTAACTGGTCCTGTATATCACATTTTCCTAGCTCTTTCAGAATGAAAGAACACATGTTCAACAGTTTCCATTCCTTCTCCACAAGTCTGACAGATCACATCCACTTCAATCCCCTCTTTCTGAGATTCAACTTGATAGGCAGTGTCCTAGTTGCACATTTCCAAAGGAAATGTTTGATCTTTCTCTTAATTTTAAGACTCCAGCTTCTGACCCTAGCCATATGATCCTGCTTTTTGGTATTGCTTCCTTTAGGGATATCAAGAGCTTGCAATTTTTGTTCAATCAGGTAAGCATAAGAAGCAGAAACTGAGAACTTACCTTTCCTGTCAAACCTCCATTTGCACTTATCAGCATAGTCAGGATTGAGTGAGTTGATTTTCAATATTGCCTCACTGTCAGTAGCATTGAACGCCTGCCTTACAAGCCATTCATTCCACCCATCTCCATTAGCATTCATCAATTCCCTCACCCAAATCAGATGGCAACACCTGCCTTACAAGCCATTCATTACACCCATCTCCATTAGCATTCATCAGTTGGTCCTAAAGTATTGATGAATGTTGGATTTAAAAAAAAAAATATAAAAACTAAAATATAACTAGGTGGTCATTAAAAAATATTTAAAAAATAATAAAAAAATTTCGAATATCCAAACCGAATAATTGAATAATTAAATTAATATTATCATACTTAATTAATATAAAATATAACAGTTTGTTTCTAAAATTAAATATAAAATGAGCGGGAAAAGCACTTAGTCGTATGCCTATACTTATTTACTAGTACAGAGCCCGTGCGATGCACGAGGTGCACAATTTTAAGGCTATTTATCTAGGCTTATAGTTATATACATGAATAAAGAAAAATGTACGGGATATATATATTACGTGACCCGTGCGAAGCACGAGATATATTTATTTGGAGAATATTATATTATAAGATGCAACATTCAATAAAAGTTTATAATACGCAAGAAAATTGTACAATGTTCAATAAAAGTTTTATAATATTCAAGTGGAGTCTTAAAGTCTCTTGTACGTTAAGACTACTGACAAAATAATATTTTAATCAATGAGTTTCCTTTCCGTGTAGCCAAACTGTGAATGTGATTTGAGGAGTACAACAAATCGATATATACCTGACTTGCTTTTTTCATTGTAGTTTTTTTTTTCTTTTTTTTTTTCATAATGAATTTAAAGATATTCTAAAATATAGCAAAAATTAATTTTTTTATTACAATTAGGAATTTTACTAAATATAAACTCTCAATCTATGGTGTTAATCAACGTTTAAGTCTAAAAAATTAGGAATTTTTACCTCTTTTAATCAACGTTTAAGTCTAAAAAACAATAGAGTTATTATAAATTTTTTTTCTACATCTCTTAAAACATTAAATATGAGCATGTTAGGGCTAGCTTGTAAAATAATTAATATATTACTAGTGCATAGCCCGTGCGATGCACGGGGCACATATATTAATTGAGTCATCTATATGACTTGTACAATTTTGGCAAAAAATAATAGGGTTGGACCATTAATTTTCCATTTCTTTCAATCAGTGATATTTATTTTAGTCATAACGTTGACATGTTATTAATATATCATTCTGCTAACACGTTATATTGATATAAATTTGATTCTGCAACATATATTTATCCATCGATATAAGAAAAAAAAAAAATATGTTTATTCTTGTTCACCATTTATTTAATAGTCAATTATTATTTTATTATAATATTTATTGTCATATAATGTCATTATTATTATTTATAAAGGTTATAGAAGTAGTCTTCTTCTTCTTAGTTTATGTAATGAGTTTAAAATAAAAAAATTTCTATAAATGTTTACAAAATACACACACATGTTTTTTAGAATTTAATATTCTCATAATAATTAAAAAAAATTGATTTAGCAAATTGTCAAATAATAATCCTTACATAATCAAGAGATTTTTTCTAATTTGCATCCTAAGACTTTATTAATTTATTTAACATACTATGCAATATAAATATATATTTTACAATAAATTCATTATGGAAACAAATAAAAATAAAAAAAATGATAAAATTATCATGGTTGACAATAATATACAAATAAATCAAATGTTGAAAATGTAAAGAATAGTTAATATATTTTAATTTTATTATTTAGCCATTAATAAATTATTTAATGATGTAATCATTATCTCTTAAATAGTAAATTATTTTAATTTAAAAAATTATTTGTTTATATAATTAAATAAAGGTTAAAAAATATTATCAAAAAATATTAATTCATCAACTTGATTTCGGCTAATTAGTTAGAGGGAGAATTATTTAACATGTTACCATTGTTTATAAATATTTTAGGATGAAAGTCAACATTTGTGAAAAAAAAAAAATATGTTTAAGACTTAAAAGTTGTTTTCATGTTTATGTTGACCAAAATATTATCAACATCAATTACGAAAAATCAAATTATAGTTTATTATAATGGATATCAATAAAATTATTGCATATGTTAATAAAATTATTAAAGGAAAGAATCTTTTTGGTCATATTTGATTTGAAAATGTGTATATTAAAGCAATTAATGCATATATTTAAAAAATTTCTAAATAAAGTATGCATTAAATGCTCATTGACTTTTTTGCTGCTATTTTTTATAAATGTTAATTCTTTTTATATATAGATCTCACTAAAACATTTATAGTAATAAAAATTAAATTTTAGCATATAAATTTATCCCTTGATATAAGAGAAAGTAACAATTTTACTTATTGTTGTTCACCATATAATATTTAATTATTATTTTATTATATAATAAAAAAATAATATGTTTAAATAGTGTAGTAGAATTGTAATAAAATTATATGATTTTTTTTACAATATGGATTTAATATTGATAATATAAACAAATCTATACTGAACTTTCATAAATAAAACAAATAAATACTTTAGTAAGTATTTTGGTATATACTAAATAGGAATATATTTGGTATAATCAAATAAGTCAAAGTGTACATTTTTATTTGGTATTTGATTTTATATTATTAAAATCTTTTTATTATACTTACCTTTTTAAAATAAAATAAATAAATAAATCAATTAAATAAATAAAATATTATAATACCAAAATAGTAATGGCATTTAATACAGTTGACTTTTCTAGATAGTAAGTGTAGTAAATAGAATCTCCTTTTATATAGTATAGACTGTATAATACGGAAATAGTAATGCAATAAATGTTGTTGACTTTTTTTTATACTAAATCTGGTAAATGGTATACCTTTTAGTATAAGTATAGATCTTAATAATATTTTATAATTTATTATTAATTTAGGTATGATAATAATGGTAAAACTAATATTGACATATATATAAATATTTAATGATTTTATGTATGTATTCCTAAAAATTACAGATTAAAAGTCAGCAAAATGTATGCGCAATAGAAACTTAAAATTTTGAAAATTACAAAATCTATTGGCAAGAAAAAAAATATTACATATATGGATAAAGTAACGATTTTTTGTAGGAAAAAAATAATTTAACTATCCTCTCTTAATATAATTTCAAAACGTGCTGAGCCTAAATGGGTGCCTCGCACACTTCGTAAACTTATTTGGCAACACTACATGCTTCGGCTTTTTGTTCCGATACATTCCTTAATTGTTTAAAATAAAATACTTAATAAATAGGATTTTTGCTTAATCCGATCCCCTCCAACTCCAAAATAAATAGGATTCTTATATAATATCTATAAAAATTACATTGAAATAGTTATAGAATATTACATGATCTTTCTAATATATAAATTTTCATGAACACTAAATAAATTATTTAAATATTTTTAGAATATCTATAAAAATACATTGAAATAGTTATAGAATATTACATGATCTTTCTAATATATTTTAAAGAGTTGAAATAGTTATACAACAACATGTGTTTTGTCTATTATTTAATTTATATTTTTTTTCAAACAACCCGTGTAGTACACGGATGTCGTACTAGTATATATAATTCCCAAATATGCTGAGTCAAAATGACAGACTCGCATGCTACGGGATCCTAGGTGTCAAAATCTCATGCTTCATTATTTGCCTTGGATAAATTTTAATTTAATTCAAATTCGAAAATAATTAGGTTCGGATTATCATAAATATATTGATTTATTTATGATTATTTTAGATGTATTAATTGTATTTTAATATCATTTCCTTTTATAACCATTGAATTGTAAATGTATTTTAAAAGTTGATAACTTTTGTATTTCTTATCGGTTTTACATATATAATATATCAAATTAATCATCTTTTGATGAACCTCGATTTGACATCCATATTGTATATATAAAATAAATAAATTATATTTATCTTTATAATAATAATAAAATTATTTATTAAAATTAATTAGAAAAATTAAATTATTTCTCAATTAATAAAAATCCTCCACCTTCCATGAGACGCACAAGGAAAATTTGCACTTTAATCATGTTTGCATAGAATATAGGCATTTATTTCTTAGGATATCTTTTCATAAGAATCCCATCAATTAGTCAAATGCTAATTGTAGGCCCGTTTTTGGTTACGGTATATACATTTGTTAACAAATTATGGGTTTCCCTCTTAGTTGGAAGACAACCCTCTACTTTCTTTCTTTTGCTCTCTTTTATATATATACTAGTGTATACTCCGTGCGATGCACAGAAACAATATTAAATTAACAATATTATAAATAGATCTCGATTTTGAGTCACTCAATGACCTAAGATCCTATTTAAAAAAAGAAAACAAAAAAAATAACTATAAATTAAAGAGGAACATAAACAATATTTAATAATTATAAATTAAAGATTCGGGGTCAAACAATGTAAAATTATTTTGTATAAGATAATATAAAAAAATTTGATTACACACTATTTCAAAATTATTATTATACTTTTTTGTATGATTAGCTTATAATATTTGTAAAAATATTAGTAATTAGACCGATAAAAATTAGCTTCTTAAAGTAGATAATGGATTTTCAGTAGTAATTATGAATTGGTTTCTATTTTATTTTATTTTTTCTTTTTAAAGATAATGAATATCTAGTAGTAATTATGAATTAGTTTCTATTTTATTTAATTTTTTTAAATTTGTATAGATAAGGGATGAAATTTTTTAAACACGGGAGACGTATGCAATGAGATTTTGTAACAAAAGAGATAAGCGTGTAGATTTATACTAAAAATAGGAAAAAGAAAAATAAATATTTATTGTCAAACAACGGTTTTGATAAACTAAAAAAAATGAGCCGATTTTTTTGCCTATTTAGATTTGTCCAACAATTACTATATTAGGATATATTTAATGATTTTAGCGGGAAAAAGTTTCTAAATTTGTAAAAAGGTTATTCTTTTTATATAATGATATATATATATATATATATATATTATAATCAAATCTCATCTCCACATTTTCTTAGATCTTTATATATTGAAATATGTTGATGGAATAATCTGAAATAGTAATTTTGACTTTGTAATTATATAGGTTGACTTACTATTAGAGGAAATATTGTAAAAATTATTTTAATATTTAAATAAAATATAAAAATTAAATTATACATACCTGTTGTAAATGGTGCAATTCGATTAATAGCACGACTTTCTATATAAATAAAGTGGTATCAAATTTGAAAAATTATTTTTTGATAATTATCGCAATAAAAATTTGATTCTTTATAATAATTACGAATCATTGTAATTTCTTATTCTATTGTAAACTAACCATACAATATGTCTTCAAAAAAACGTCTATTAAATATATTTTGGTTTTAGAAAATATTAATTGAATATGAACGATAAAATTGTAAATATAATTACAAAATAAAATTGCAAACCAATTATGAAAATTTATTATGATATTTATCACATTGTTACAATAGAGTCTTATTTATCAACATTAATCACAAATCACGGTGATTTCTTATTCATTTGGTAACCAACCATATATCAAAATATCTTTTTATCGTATTTTCAAAAAATCATTTAATCAAGAGGATTAGTTTATAATTCTTTGATTTATCAATAAATGAACTGTTTCAGTTTTTGAAAATTTGTATACCCGTTTTTCAACATATCAAAAGAAATTTAAATATTATCTTTAATAATAAATCACTCTTTATTATTAAAAACAAATCATTCGTTCTTCTGTTTTGTTTGGGATCCAGCCATATGTAGACCGGAATATACATGAGAACATTGCAAGATATAAGTACAAAATAAATTTAGAGATCAATTGCAAGAATCTTATTAATATAACTACCATAATACTATAATATAATTAATATCTCAACATTAGTAACAAATCAGCACGATTTTCTATTTATTTCGTAACAAGTCATATACCAAATATCATCTATTCTTTTTTTTTTTCGAAACGATAGATTTTATTAAACTAAAACACATAATTACAACTAGACAACAACGAGAATAACCCAAACAACTATCTAGCCAAACCTAGGGTGGCACCCCGATAGCAACGGGGGCCTAGAGAACTACTCTAACACACCCACAAAACAAACGGAATAAAAATCTCCCACCAGGGAGAATAACAACTCCTATAAGAGGAGACTAGACTAACTACAAAGTAGAATAAAAAACACTAACAACACAAATAAAAACACAAACACAACAAAACACTATATAATAGACTAACACCGTCCTCTCAGTCAGCAAACAAACCGCATCAAACCGCGACCCGACTCCCGAAGCTAGCCGCCCAACCGGATAGGACTTCGGCCCGAGTACTGAACCAAAAACTCCAGTGTAGCCACGACTAGTTGGAACCGCACCAGAACCAAATCTTCTCCCGAACGGACCACCCTCATATCGGAGATCGGAGGATGGCATCGAACTATTTTTCTAAGGAGTTCAAAAATATCCTTTGATTTTATTAATAACTGCACCAAACTAACTTTTTTAAAATTCCTATTGCGATTCATAATATCATAACAAATCTCATATAAATTAATAGGTTAGAAAGAAAACTTAAAATATTTATAATATTATAAATTATAAGAAAAAAATAAAATAATATTGACGTAACTAAAAATTTATAAATTTTTGAACTTTAAAATAATATATATTACAATCTTTTTCAATTAAGTATTGGTTATAATATTTGCCACGATTTGTTAACTTTAGCCTAACTTATTTAGAATTCGAAGTAATATATTGCAACAATGTAGGGGAAGAGAAAATAGAGAGAGAAGCATCATATGAGTACAAAAATTGTATAGAGCCATTGGATGGTTTTCTTATGAAGCCATCCACCATTTAATATATTGACACCTGTCCAAATTGTACTTATTGCAGGACACGTGTCAATACACTATTGGTGAATAAGTGTGGATGGCTCCATAAGTCGAGCCATCGATGGCTCCATAGCAAACCTGGATATGAGTATTATTTATTGATGATAGCTGAATAGGTTAAATTTTCATTATCCTTGATCTAAAATGAAAAAGTAACTAGTGAAATAAATATATAAATCATATAATAAAATATCATATATATCATAAAATAAAATAAAAAACAATTATTAATATTCAAAATTATTATTATACGAATCAATATTCTTTCATTACTTTAATACATGCAATTTATAATTATTGCTTCGTGCATCGCAAAGGCTACGTCTTAGTTTTTATTATAATTGAAAAAGATCACATCATATTTTTTTTAACTGATTTTAGTGATTTACACTTCTATATTCAAAAGTAATATGATTTTTTTTACCTCCCAAAGTATGTTTGTTTTTAGACCTTACCTTAATAACATTTTTTCTTGACGAATTATCTTTGAAAAGTACACGCTGACAATTTACCTCTATATGAATTTAGCTTGCCTCGTTTACTTTTTTTTTTTTTTTTCAAAAT